GTGGGCTTTCCTTACCTATCACATCTATGTATGGTTTTAATAATAATAATAAGTTTAATGCCAACGAACCGTGGGTATTATGTAAAATGTCCGGGACATTTGTGAAATACCTGCTCATTATATACATTGCCCAAAAAAATGTGCAATCTACACAATGGTCGATCATTTTACAAAATGCCCACGTTAAACACATTGCCCGTAACACCTTTCACATCTAATAGGAGATATTTCTGCGATGATCCCACAGTCTTTTTAAAATTGTTGTGATCTTAGAGGACGATCGCGAAAGCGGCCGTCATAAAAGATCAGGACTGGTGGCAGCGCTTATACCCTTCTCAGCCGCGCAAATAAATAAGAACATAATTAATCTTTTCTTTTAATTTTGTACGTTGCGCGCCATCTCTCACTCGTAACGTAACACCACCATTTTTTATTTTTAAATCATCGAAAAGACTTCGTACTTTTGTTTGAATAGTCGTAAGTAGACAGCGGATCTTTATGTAAAATTAATATGCAAAATATTCAAAAATATATGTTGTGACCCTTTTGAGGTCTATATTCACTCTATATTCTTTAGATCGTTATATAATCCGTTACAATCGTTGGTCGCCAGCCACTCGCTATGGCAATCGAAATCAAAAGGAAAGGGGTATCGCGGGTTCTTACAGGGGATGGGTCTCGGGCACTTACGTCCGTACAACTTCGCGGGGAAGTAGGCAGGGGAGGACAGTTTAGGGCTAGGAAGAATCTCAGGGTAGGGAAAAAGGTCCGCGAGGAAGTTCGTATACGTTACGCGTAGGAGGATTACTGTGGTTGGGAATGATAGGGGTTGGACAGGGGGCTTCGCAAAACGTAGAAATCTTTTAAGAATCGGAACAATACGCGGACGCGAATGTACGCGGGCGAGAAGATTGCCGTTGCCGAAACTCAAACAATTGATTCGCAAACGTTATATAATCCAAAGGACTCACCAAACGGTGCACTTCACACACAAACTCTCAAAACGCTTCTATTACTATCTTTCTCTACTTCACACAAAATCTCTATACGCTTTCTCTATATTTCGCTATGCTAGCCTAAGGCTCAATGCCGGCTCGTCGTTGTCACTGCGACGTTGAGACCGTCGAGGGATAATTTTGGGGAGGAGATAGGTCTAGGATTGGGGCCTCTTCCGGCAACGGGATAGATCGATTACACAGTCCAACAAATTTGAACTTTTTCTGTGATCTGGAATATCCATTACGTGATTCTTATAGGCTTTTGTTCACTGATTACGAATCTGCAAACCGTTTTGCTCCTATACGTACAGTTTTTGAGAAACAGGCATTTTTGTGAAAATGCGTGGTTGTGGGAAAAAATGCAGTATTATATGAAAACGAAAAAGTATCGGTATGGTTTGGTGTTGGAACAAATAAAGAAAATATCCATCGACAACGTGACTACGACGCGTTGCCGCCAGGCGGCCATTGTATGCCTACCTCGCCGCGTGAATGCCGTAACTACGCGTAATGGACATTTGTATTACTTTAATAGATTTTTGTTTACTATGAGTGTGTATAATATTGCTATACAATGAATGCTATATCACTCATGTCCACGTCGGAGAAATTTTACTGTTAAAGAGCAAATAGTTATTAAAGGATACCGTGGGTATACGGATTACAATAGGCATACAATGGCCGCCTGGCGGCAACGCGTCGTAGTCACGTTGTCGATGGATATTTTCTTTATTTGTTCCAACACCAAACCATACCGATACTTTCTGTGAATGGTTTCTTCATCAGAAATGTTTATAGAATGCAATCCTGTATAGTAAATTCCTGCTAGATAAAAGACTTTTCATAAAAATACAAAAATAGCGCGTACAAACTAACTATGGCACCTCTTTTTCAAACTTTGACAAGCATTTACAAATATTAAAAATCATCAAAAAATATAATTGTTTATACAGACGTATAGAGGAAAGTCTACTCTAACTTTTGACATAAACCTGAACTTCATTGAATTTTTAGTTTTCATGTAATACTGCATTTTTTCCCACAACCACACATTTTCACAAAAATGCCTGTTAGCGTCAGTTCGTATTCAAGGGTTGACACGTGGCAGGGTCATTGCATTTGGGGCTTTGACCTGCTTTTCAAGGATTTCTCAGGATTCTTTAGGCTATCGATACCCCGAGCCATACGTCTGTCATCGGACTTAGGCCGGCGGTAGTTGGTACTTGAGGTGCGACAAATTCTAAGAGTCGCGGACGTTTTGTTTATGGAACGGCGATAGAGAGTTCGATCGCCGAGCTTCAAAGAAACGCGGATGTGGCCGATGACCCAAAGTCATGGTGCTGCGTGGCGCGTGCAGAGAGATAAGAATTCGAAATAAAGGATCTCGCCACGGAGTGGGGAGGGTCCGGGGACCCTCTGGCAGGAGGACTGTGTCAAAAGACACGGCACTTACCCGAGAACCTCTGATCGATCGTGATCTCTGACATATAAAGAATTAATGTAATCAATGTACAAATGTTGCGCCCTGTTTTGAAATACAAAAAAAAGGAAATAATTATCTTAATTACAATGAGTGCGCCCTGTATATAAAAAAAATACAAAGAAAAAATTAACAATCGCGTTTGTACTAAAATAAAATACAATAAAAGAAAATTCAGGTTTATTAATTACAAAATAGTTTGACCTAAAATAAAATACAAAGAAAAAAATTAATTGATTAGTGAACGCGACTCTAGATACGATTATGAAAACTCTAAATCTATAACTTGAATTTATAAAATAAAATTATTCAAATAAATTGTTCGATTGTCGGAAAATTGGCGTGGATCCGTTCCGACACTGTAGGAGCTAACCCGTTCGGCCGCAGTACGATTTCTGGGCAACTTAGCCGTCACTGATAGGCCGCATCCAAGGAGCTTCTGCTTTCGCTCGCTCGTTAAGCTTGGTTGCGAACACTGCAGGACGGTATCGTCGCTCTAGAGCCAGTGTACTAATAGGCCGCATCCAAGGAGCTTCGGCTTTCGCTCGCTCGTTAAGCTTGGTAGCGAACCTGACACGTATGAGAACCCGGTGGTCGAGCGCTCCGGTTCTGACGCGGAACCCTTGCCACCTTGCCGACAAAAGAATCTAAGCTACCGGAAACCTATGTAGTAATCGTATCATAGATCCGTGTCGGACTACGATCATTGCCGATCCTCGAAGGAACGCACGTGTGGCCGATGACCCGAAGTCATGGTGCTGCATGGCACGTGTAGAAAGATAAGGATTTTCTAGAAGGGCCTGGCCACGGAGTGGGGAAGATCTTGCATCTTCTGGTAGGAGGACCATGAGGAACGGCATGGCACTTACCCCAGAATCGCGAGAGGAGTAACACCATTTATTTAACATGCCTGTTTCTCAAAAACTGTACGTATAGGAGCAAAACGGTTTGCAGATTCGTAATCAGTGAACAAAAGCCTATAAGAATCACGTAACTGATATTACAGGTCAAAAATCGTGTTGTACCGTGTTATCGATCTTCGATTAACCGGTGATCGGGATCGATGGGACTGGCGGATGTCCTGTGACGACGGGTGCGGGCTGAAGTCTTCGGGCTCGGCGACAGATGGCTCCGGGTGGGCTTTTCCGAAGTCATCTGGGCTGCTTCGTCTGATTATTTCGAAGTCCAGCGTTGTCCCCCTTCTTGGAAGGGGTTGGGCGGGTCTGTCGCCGGCCTCGAAGCTTCTGCTGGGGTTGTCCTCGTTCGCTCTGTCCGTCGCCTCTATCAGCTCGACACCGGTGGGCAGGGCGAAGGGGTAAGGTGAGGGAAGGGTTAGGGGTTATCTTGAGGTGGGAGTGGGAGGTGAAAGAAGCGTAGCGATTGTAACGGGGGGGGGGGGGGGGGGGGGGCACGGGTGTCACCACGTTACAATGTAAAATATATGCGAAGTATATGCACGATATATGCAAAAACATACAAAATATGTGCAAAATAATCAAATCAGTCATACAATGTATACACATTTTCATTTATTGTTTGCTGTAATTTGCATTACAATATGTAAGGGAGAATCGGGAGAAAAACAGAAATCTTAAATGTACAATGTAAAGCAAACTCTTTATTCACAAACTTGTCTGACTCAGTTCGTCTCGTTCTTCCAACTAACCCTGTACAGGCTAGAACGTTTCCACTCCGAAGAAAAACTCTCCCCCATACTTCGTCCCTTTTCCAGGCCATGCCATAAAACTCGTCACTCATCGACGTTTCCGACCAGACATCGCTAAAACCTCTCAAGTATACATGCAATTCAACAGTAACTATAGTCTTTTGTCGCTGAAGATTAATTAGTATGCTGAAAATGTCCTTTCAATATCACAGGACGTAATTAGTGCGTACATGTATTTGTTCGATATAGGGTTTTGTTAAGTTTTAATAAAGGATTAAATCCTGGATTGTTTTCATTTCTCCACAAGCACCGGATACCCGTTCCAGCTCTTAGGTAATATCAGCAATTAATTTGACTGATTCGTACAACAGGAGCCGTTTTGTATTTAATTTTGCTACGGTAACTGGCTATGCTAATCTCCAAAAATTAGTTGCAATATAATTTAAGTCATCAAATAATGTTCCATTTTTAATCATTTCTTCGGCTAATCTAACGCAACTTACATTTCTGTCATCGAATGACTCAATAACCTGGAAATAAATGACGACCTGAATGTCTTATTTTGCTTAAGTAATATATATATTATAAAATAATAGTGACATCTTTTATACTGTGCACATGCTCTGCATAAAATATTGCCGCTTCTAGCCATGTCCTCTATCTTGTTAGAGTAGGTTCCAGTAGTAACGGGACATTTGGTAGCTTTTCTTTATAGCATTCATTACGATACGGTGCCTAATTGTTTAACTACTAGAAAGTACAAGTACTACAGCATTCATCCCGTGTTTCTCTTAACCATATTCAACTCCTATGTTAAACATGGTTAACGGTTTAACATCGTCCGAACATGGCCACGTTTGGTATCATTTTCATGGAAAAAATTTCAATAATTCAATTTAAAATACTCCCAAAATTATAAAGTCCAAAATAATAAAATTTTATTTTTCCTACATTGATGATTCATCGGTAGCACGAGTTATCACCGAGTTATCATGACTCGAGATAATCCGGCCGCTCGCTCGGTGACTGCAATTCGTCGAAAGAGGAAATCGAAAGAGGAAATAGATAGGAAAATTAAAAATCTATTAAGCCATTTTTCAAGAGAAGTGAAAAAAGAAGAAAAAAGTTTGAAGCCTGGTGCTGGCACCGATGAAGTGTACAAGTCGAAGTGGTTTGCCTTCAAAAATATGCAGTTTTTGAAGGACAAAAATCGACCACGGAAAACTGTTAATACAGAAGATAGGGTAAGTAATTATACACACGGTTTACAATAAAATACTATTTTTTTATAGCGATTGTAACGGGGGGGGGGGGGGGGGGGCACGGGTGTCACCACAAATGGACTTTCACGTGTCCTTCCCGGGAGAGCACAGTCACCAGGAAGTTTCATTTTTATATTCGTCAGCAATTCATTAAATTTGGAGTTTTGAAATACTCCTCCATCAGAAATTCGCCCTTGGCATCCCACGTTGCAATAAATAAAATTGTAATTTGCATCAACTACGGCAAACAGTACAATGCTGAAAAATCCTTTGTAATTGAAAAACTCTGTGCCACTATTTAGTGGTGGTTGTATAGACACGTGCTTCCCGTCCATTGCTCCCACGCAATTTGGAAAATTCCATTTCTCGTTGTAATCTTTCGTTACAATTTTCCATTCGTCTTCATTCTGAGGTATCTGAAAAAAGACATTATGGAACATTGACTTACTTTCAGGTTAACAATAGTTCAGAGGAGAAAATTTGCAATGATGTTTTTCAAGAAGAATGCAGCACTTCTGCAGTTTCCATTGTGGAAGAGCAGTCTGTAGAGAAAACACCTGAAAACGCAACACATGCTCTATCTACAAATAAAATATCAACCAGGAAAAAGAAAGTTGACAACGAGGTGAAGGAAGCGTACAATATAATGAAGGAAATGTATGGAAATAGAAGTCCGAGGGATGAGTACACCCTACTTGGAGAACAAATCGCCATCAAAGTTAGGCAATTACCCAGTGCCCATGCACGAATAATGGTCCAGCATATCATTAATACCACATTATTCGAGGCACAACTGGGAAAATATGACAATCCACCCATTCAATCACACGCATCCACTTCTCATTCTCAATCGATTACACCAACCACGCCATTCTCTTCTTTTGCATGTGATTCACAACTACCAACACCCATACCCATAGAAACATGTACTCTTTCACCAAACAATGATGTAAATACTGTAAATACTGTTAATACTATCTTACACTTGTAACAAAACTGTTTCTTATATTATTACTATTATTATTATTATTATTATTATTATTATTATTAGTAGTAGTAGTATTATATTGTATTTTTGTATATCTTAATTATAATACAGGAAATATAATATGAATTATTTAGTAATTTAATCAATATGCAGTATTATGTACTTACTTTTACATGAGACTGTAGTGCATCGATGAGGGCTTCACATACTTCCGGGATAGTTCTTGAAATTACTTGTTTTGAAATTTTAAACAAGTACATGATGGATTGATACGAATCCCCTGACGCTAAAAATCTTAATGTGAGACCAAGACGCTCTTTTACGGGGATTGCTTTTCTAAAATTTGTATCAGTTTTAACAATTTTTGGTCCAATTAAAGTTAATAAAGTTTCGAATTCAGTACTGGACATTCTAAAAAAATTTCTAAATCCGCCGTTACATCGATACTCCAGATTAATTAAGTTGGCATCGTCACAAATCAAATCTCTCATAAAATCACTCGCACTATAAATATTTCTGCTTCGTAAACTAGGACGCACCCAAAATCTCCGTTTCTTAACTGTCTTCTTCTTTGCAATTACTATAAATGCAGCTGCAGCAATCATCACCTCATCATCACTAAACATTTTGATATACTGATGAAGATGTCCACTTCGGACGAAAAGCGGATGTATACTGCAATGGTATACCGCGGTCTACGATAGGGGTGGTCGTAAATTAAAAGAGTCGGCTCGCTGGTGGTTCAGCACGACTTTTTTTGATGTTTACCGACATCGGACGGTAAAACAATCGGCATGGCGATCGGCTTTTCAACCCAAGTCGACGCTGATTCGGCGCTATCGAGCGGCTTTGCCGCTTTCAGTCACATTTGCCGATTACTAATGCCGACGCAGTGGGAGGATACTACAGGTTCCACTAAAAAGTGTGAAATAAAATAATTTTTAACAAAAAACTTTTTAGTACATTTCGAAGTCGGATTTGTTTTTTGTTAAAAATTATTTTATGAATAAAATATTTTCTTCACTTACTTAGAAATTATAATCTTTATAAGTATTCTTCTTTATTTCATGGGAACAGAAGAGCAGTAACAATTTATTTTACTTTAAATAATGTAAATGTTAATTTACACCACAAATTATCACAAGATTATTTCAAACAATATCCAACTCTGATCATACCTTATGAAAATAATGAACACTCCGTCTATTTACTTTACACGTGTATCATGACACAAGATCATGTTACTATTACACATGTAAAATACTTTTTGTAACCATGACCTCTTTTCGTTGCTTGCCATAACTTTAGGAGTATTGCTGAGAAATTATATATACAGTGTAAAAATATTTTTTAACATAAATCGGTTTAATGTTACTTTAATTGTCTAGTAATGATTGATTTCATCAATTTAAATTCATTAATAACAAAAGTAGTCCGATTTACTTCCTGTTTGGTCTTATTTTCATCAGAAAAATATCACAAATCTATTGATAAAAGTTTTAAAGCAAAAAAATTATAAATAAAAAAGTTTCATCGTTGCATTAGTATTGTTTTACAGACATATAGTCGATTATTTTCGCTCTGTCTTCTTTTTTACTCCCCGTCCTTTTTTACGTTCGAAGCAGTCGGGAAACTTCAAATAATGTCGGAATTAGACGATATTCGTACATCTATACGACGCAACGGCAAAAATTGTTTGTGTGTGCGATCATAGACTGTGCCCCACCTACTCTCTTCCTTTAGAAGACACAGATTTTGTTTATTTTTAATCCGAACGAGCTACTGTTCAGACGTAAGTTCCAAACAAGCAATATTTCATTTTATAATATACATTAATTTCATTTTTAATGGTTGGTGGTTTGGTTGGTTGTAGTTCTGAAAACCAATCACTCCATATTTTTTTTATTTTTTAAAACACAGTATTTTTACGTTTCTGGATACACTGATTACGAATATCATAGCGAAAAATATGCGACTATTGGGCCATCGTAAGGCGGCCGGAACCGCTTACGCGAAAATATAAGAAATGCTTTCAACAACATTATTATTTCCAAATTCTTGTGGCGGCGACGCGACAAGATAAACGTAGATCCGTTTATTCAATTACTTCAGGATATTAGGATTTGCTATTTTCCGGCAGTACTGCTTACGTTTGTGAGCAGCAGTTGTATTCACTGAGAAAAACGTAACAAAATTCAATTTCTGTATTTATCATGAAAATGAAGTAGTCGCCAAATTTCACTATCATATTTATTCAATATCATATATTCAAAGCTTCGATGTAACCGTTCACAGCTCGTAAACACAGTTCGATAGCATTGTCTACGATATTCGCAATCAGCGTATAAAAGACGTAACAAGACTGCATTTTAAAGAAATAGGGGGTGATTACTTTTCGGAACTTCATCCACAAATACGAACGGATTATTTTCTTTTCATTCATGAAACTTCTTTTTTTTCTCACAGAAATATGGAAGACGTTGCGGAAGAAACAAATGATCATAAGTATAATTGCAACTTCAGTGAAAAATTAATATACTGCATGATTAAAAAACGTGCATGTTACATATCTCCTTTTTCTTTCAGAACACCAAATAATGAATGTATTGCTGCAGCGCATGCAATCGCAGCAGCAATAGCGCGACCAACAGATTGAGCTGCTGCAGCAACAACACGCGCAGCAGCAGCAATCGCCGCAGCAGCAAACGCCGCAGCACCAGCATCAACAGCCGCAGCGGGCGGAACAAGGAACGTTGCAAATAGAGGCGGATGTGAAGCCGCCGCGAAGTAAGTTGCACACATGTAATCCAGAAAATAATTAACACATATGCGTCTTAAGTAATAAACAAAATTCATTATAAAATGAGTGAGATATATTAACATGTACAATTTTACGTTGCAGAGAGAGGAACGGCTGCTGGCGTGAGGCACCGCACCTACCGCGATGGATGGCCGCAGGGCGGGAGGGGCGGCGTATCAATTTCATCTAGTAGTACGGCTAATAATACACTTATTGTTTGCGTGTTCACGTGGGCTGAGCGGACTGAGAAAACGAGGCACACTTTGCAAGAAACACAGTTTGTTTATTGCACGTCAAATATGTACATAAGACAGTAACAAAGCGCATGTAACGACCCGTTAAGAAGACCCAGCACCTTTTTCATTTCGTTGTTGTTGTTATGATTTATTTTTGGTTTAAATATTGTACAAAATAGTTAAGTTAATTTTTACGTTTAATTGAATTTATAAAAAAAGTAATTAGTTTAATTTGTATTATACTTCTTATAATAAATAAATTTCATTTAATCGATAATATAGTCTGATTGAATAAGTCGATAAGCGATAAGTCGATAAGCAATTAGTCGGTAAGTCGGTCGGTAAATAGATTATCGATAAATGATCGACAAACGAATGCATACGCGCCAGCGCAACCCCGATGATCTCGCGGTGGGGTGAGATTCTAGAGTAGGGTGACCGCGTAGACTAAGGAGCAGGGGTGCTCGGCCGTCACGTGATGGGGAATTCCAGAAATTCAAAGGAACCCTATAATAAAAAAAAACGCTAAGTCAGCAGAATCTGACTATAAATAGAGGCGTTCCACGCAGAGCCAGATCAGATCTTCCCTGGCTTCGGTCAGATGCAGACAATACTCTGGAAGTAGAGGAAAAGCTTGCGCTGAATTGCCTAGGCAACTATAGAGCGCGAGATTAGCTCTATCCTTCTCTTTCAGTAGCGACGTACGAGAGTTCGGATCTGTGGACACCCTACTCATGGTACGCAACGTGTTGAACACGTGCTAATACTAAGCCACACGTTCAAGTGTAAAGAGCTAGCGAGGAGCGGAGCTCCTTGAGCAGGCCTGTATTAGCATAGCTCTGGCTAGACCAGAAACCGATTGCGACCTGTAGGTATAGTCCGCTCGTGTCCAAAGGTATCGTACAAGCTACTAGAATATAGTTTTCCAGTACTTAGTGTAACTTGGCAAATTGTACAGAGTATTGGCTGTATTCGAAGATCAAGTCGCGTTAATACTTATTAACCACTAATCATATATTTTGCACTGTATTTCATTATCTAGGGCGTACCTATTATAATTTCTTATTGTATTTCATATTATAGCCGTACCTATTGTTATACTTAATATTATACTTACTTAGAGCAATTATAGTTAATTTACTTACTTAAATAAAAGATAATTTTTAGTTTGATACATTAATGTTGGATTTCACTCCTTAACCGCACACCACACGAACCTATAATCCCAATTCTCATTCATACGAGTCGCCTTCTTGGGGAACCGCTCTCCCTATACGTCGGTGCAGTGACGTACCTATCACTGGGTCGTTACACGCACATATACAAATCACACAATACGCGTAGTACACTGAGCGGACGAAACGAATACACTAATGCTTGAGTGGTCACCGCGCGGTCACCAATTATTATATTAATAAGCGTAAACTGAGATTTGATCTAAGCATGAGCGTGGGCAGGCTAAACACGTGCATGTACTCTGAGCGTTCGATCAAGAAGGACACGATCGATGATGACGTCGATCGTGCCGGCAAGCGCGTGGACAAAGCGGGCCCGAGAGGTGCTGCCGCTATCGGTAACGACGCACCGACGAAATACTTTCGTTGCCAACTTCGTGGGCTGAGATAATTTGGGGAATTTCGCCAACACTTATGATTCCGTCCAGAGCACTACTTTCTAACATGTTAGGTTCTTCTTCGGATGCGAATGTGCATCCGTCAAATAATTATAGTCTAGGCTCATTGCAACCTCTTTCTAACAACGCAATTAAGGACATGGTCACAACACCGCTTGAGTTTCCAAAAACCGTCGAAGAATTAATATTTCTAATCAAATCCACATTTGCTCAAAGTTTTACTTTAAACTATACCCAAAATGAATTAAAGGCTGTATATCGTCGTGAAAGCGAAACAATAGAAGAGTACGGATTTCGAGTAAATGATATTCTAGATCGCGGGGTACAGGCAACAAAAGAAGATTTAGATTCGAAGGAATTTGGGGGAATTACAAAATTGTTTATGACGAGCGCGGTGACCGGATTTTTAAGGGGATTACAGAACGATGCTATCGCGAGTATCCTTTCTAAGGGTGATATTAAAGAATTAAGGGAAGTTATAAAATTAGCGTCTAGAATTGAAAAATATGTAAACTCTCCACGGATATCTAGGAATGCGAATACTTCTGATATTAATCCTAGGGTATTGACAGCAGAAGTACGTAAGAAAACGTGTTTTAGTTGTGGGAAAACAGGTCATTTTTCTCAGGAATGCCCTGCGCGACCGGATCGTCAACACGGGAGGCCAATTCGCAACGCGCTTAGGTGTCGGAAATGTGGGAAATTAGGCCAAACCAATTTATCATGTAGGAGGAGAGATGTTAACCGTATTTGGAGAAAATCGCGATCACCAGTTTCCTTCAATTTCTAAAAATCAAGGAAATCCTTTGAATTCGAGAAGGAGTTGTTAGTAGTCTTGTTTGGTGTAGAACATTTTTTGACCTTACCTTTATGACCGGCAATTTACGTTGCTTACTGACCATAGACCTTTAGTTTGGCTACACAGTGTCAAGGATCCAATATCTAAAATTATGAGGTGGCGTATTAGATTGAATGAGTATGATTATACTGTAGTGTAGAAACCTGGAAAGGTTAACGCCAATGCCGACGCACTTTCACGGAACCCCGTAGACACCTGCATAAATTCTGATCCTCTACCATTTACCGTACGGTCTAGCGTGGATTCCAATCCCGGTTCACGGTGTTTGGAAAGGGTGCTTGCCTGCTCAGGTGGGACACCAGTTGCAGGTTCTGAAACGGCCAGAATGGATGAAATACAGTTTGCTTATAATGAGTCGTTAGTGGCCTCTGCATTCCTGGCGCGCGGGAAGGCAGCGGCTAAATAAAACGAGGTCACCAACAAAGTGCAAGGAACTTTGTATTCGGAAGCAGTGTCATCAGGAAGTTTATTTAAATCTCTGAAGGGATCATCCTACGCGGGTGCCTGTGTGGTTCCGGTGCAGCTTGTGCCAGCGCGGAGGTGTGATCCCCGTGACTGTGTGGTTTTGTCCTCGCCTCGAACATTAGTTTCGGGTGAGTGTGAGAATGAAGTCGCAGCTAGTGGATGTGCTGGACCCACCGTGAAATCCACCCCAGACGTACATGCGGGTGCGGCTCGGTGAAATGTTTCCAACCGAACAGGCCATTAATTTGCCCAGCGTGCCATGATTCGTGCTATGTCGGGCAGACTAACGTGCATTTGCGCGCTCTACCTGTACAATGCCCAGCGCGCATGGGTACATGCTTGCATGGTTCTAGGGTTGATGTTGTGGAATGCCTTGGCAGAGAGACCAGGCAGCGTGTAAGATTATAAATCTTAATAATGTCGAGAGCAGTGAAAATAGTAGAAGTACAGTATTGGTTAATAATTTGGATGATGAAATAAATAGACCTACGGTAGATCTTTCCTTTTTGCCTGTTATACATCATGTAGAGGATAATCTTTTTATGAGACGCGATAATTTTGTTCATTTTACGCCTTTGAACTGCAGTGATATTTCTCAGACTACTGTGGACTTGCTAAGTCGGATTGGATTTACAGTAGAGCTGATGCAACAGTATCAGATTGAAGTTGGTGACGCCATGGTTTTCTCTCATGAAAAGCATTCTATTCTTCTTTCATTTTATAAAAATGAACCCCATGACGAATTGGATCTTAGTCACGTTGAATCATCGTTAAAGTCATAAAGAAGCTCTCCTATAAATTTAGAAAAAGCAAACGAGTGAAATGTTTGAGATGATAATTTGCTGAAATGCAAGCTCGAATAGCCCCAGGGTTTCGAATGATTCCCCGCGCTTTATATATCTCTCTGTTTACAAACGGTGTATAAATAAAAGATCGTTTCAGATGGGTCGTCGCTGTTTGACGCGCGATGCTGTTCCTTTCTTTTGTCTATCTGTGCGTTTAGCTTTGCTAAACAAGTTAAATGGTTAAAAAGCGTCGAAAAAGCGAATACACACGTGACGAGACAAATCTAACGAGTAAAGGAACGCTCCGCTCTAAGATAAAAATGGTTGTTAACAATCAATGCAGCGTTTCGGTACCCCTGATCGTAGTCTGAAACTGTGTAACAAAAGAGAGGAAAGCGAATGGTGAAGGAACTTCGAAGCCTCCGTGGCGTGGCTAGGACTTGTGATAAAAATGTTTGCAGCAATTATGCATGCTCCCGTTAAAACAGCATTTCAATGTCTCGCATGGCTTTAAGTCCTAGGAGGCTTCAACGTTTAGAATACATCCGGATAGATTCAACATTTCTGAAATATATTGTTACCTTGTGTGTTGGTAAAATTGTAGTTCCACCGGAATCTAGTCGTCTTCAAATCATTCAGGAGCATCATGAATCTGCAATTGGAGGTCATAGGAGTGTTTTTAAATTGCACCAACTTATTCGCGAACGGTTTTATTGGCCGGGTATGGTAAAGGAGATTACAGAATTCGTTCGCACTTGTCCTATTTGTCAGAAAAATAAAAATTATACTGCAGCAATCACACAACCAATGCAAATCACTGATACACCTCGTCAAGCTTTTGAGAAAATACAAATGGATATAGTTGGACCTCTACCCGTAACTAATAAAGGAAATCAGTATTTACTCACTCTGAAAGATAATTTGATTAAATATTCTGATGCGATTCCATTAAGAACCATAGACACAGTAACCGTTGCTCATGCTCTTGCCGAACAGTTTATCAGTAGATTTGGATGTCCACGGGTTATCCATACTGATCAAGGGAGGAACTTCATTAGCCAGGTAATGAAGAATTTCTGTAGGATTTTCAAAATACAGCGAATAACATCCACGGCCTTTCATCCTCAGTCGTAGGGTTCTCTTGAAAGGGCACACCGTAGTTTTATTAATTATCTCAAACACTATTGCACAAAGACGGATTGGGACGATGGGATACGTTTCTGCATTTTTTTTTTAACTCACAAATTGGTTTTTGGTGTTAAAGCCAACATACCTTCTGAATTTGCCAAGGGGCAAACGCCTCGAACCTTTGCACAGCATTTTAACGAAATGTGGAAAAAGCGAAACAGAGAAGTAAGGGTTACTACGATCAAAGATTAAACCCATGTAAATTTAATGTAGGCGACATGGTATACTTACTCAAAGAGCCTAGAATTTCCAAATTTGATTGCGACTGGCTGGGTCTCTATAAAATAAGTCGAATGTTTGGTGACTTAACAGTGGAATTGGAATTAAAACAGAATAAATGTAAAATAGTACATACCAATAAACTAAAATTGCCGTGTATACGGCTGGACGATCCTACCGAAGACTAAATTAGATTTATGCGTATCGTTGATGCCTTGTAAGCTTGTGCTTATATTCTACTAATATTATGGCTTATGAATAATCCAGAGACAATTGATAATATATGGAGGAATTACTATTTGTTGCATGTTTACATGTACGGACTATGATGTGTGCGAAATTACGAACTATTGAATGGGCTATTGAAGTTGTACGACGAGTGACATTGAATGAACTATTAAATACAGACTTACTTTCACGTTATTAGAGAGAAATGTTATGAATGAAAAAGCTGTTTTTTGTAATCACTTTTTTGTATAAGGGGAACGGTGTAACGTGAAACGTTATCACGTGAATATGTTTAGAGTGTTATGGCGACACTGCCATGGGAATATTTATCGGTAGTCTGTAGTATCGATATGTCATGAATATCAGTCGAGGACCTTTTGTATCGAAGGTCATAAATTAAGAGCGAAATTCAAACATCATCTGTGCGTACACTTATATAAATAGACAAAGATTAAATTTTAAGCCCCTCGACGTGGGAGATCGAGCTGAGAGAAGGCCGGAAGTCCAGAGAATGGAATAGTTTCACTTCGAAAATTCCTAGAAGACTAATTTATGATAGACCATAGCCAATTCGTCGTTTTCGACCAAGTCACGAAGTCTTTTTCGATATCCTGTCTTTTCATACACTCTAAGAGGGTCGTAAATTTCCTCAAGAGTTGCCTTTGGCAAGCACATGGTCTTGTCTTTTCCTATTTTCTCTGGGTCCCACGCTTTCTCGTAGCACATGTGCGCTGCAACGTTCTAGCGTCTTGGCGGAGCGCCTCCACTTCCATGCGCCTGAGGGTGGACCACGGGCAGGAGAAGTGGCCTACACAGGACGGAGTGGACTCCTCCACCATTGGACGAGGGATGATCCTGAGGGAGGATCCAGGATCCATCAAGGAAGGGGAATCGATCGACGACGCGCGAAGATCTCCTCCGCCAAGCGCAGAACCGACAGAATGATTTTGTCAGTCAAAATAGACAGATCCTTCTCTCGCGCTATATTCAACGCATTTTAAACTCTAAGTTACGAGTCGGTTTAAATAAAGAATTAAAATATTAAAGCACCGTGAACAATAATAAAAGTTTACTATTTTCATTTCCCCGCCTTGCGAGCGGAGCGCCTCCGCGCTCCACGGATTGTCAGGCCTGCGCCTTAATTCCCCACATATCCCTATCTTCCGCGAACGGACACGCAACACTCGCATCCCCCCAAGGAGGCAGGGATTGGGGAGGCAGGACCCAAGGGAAGAGGCCGGCGCCGCGGAGGCCACGACTATGGAAGGGCCGACCTCCAATAACGAGAGAGATGGCCACGCAGCCGCGACTCGCGGGGTTCAGGGCTACTGGTACTGAGTTCGCGGGAGCGGCGTTGTCGCGAATGACCCCGACACTCCGAGAAATTAGATTTCGGGACTGCGCGTCGCTGTCGTCGGCGCCTGTGGCCGTGTGTTTGGTGGCCCAGCGCTTGCTCTTGACGATCGAGATAGCCCAGTGTCGCTCCCTGACAACTGCCAGATCATTGACCGGCCTTATAGCCAACGAGGGCCTACACGCTTCGCTACAGGAGCTTATCGTGGTGGATGTAGATTTCGCTCCTACTGTCAACGAGGTCCAGGAAAATATTCCAGAAACTCCCAGGATGATGGACCTTGTGTTTGTCGAACTGCAACTGAACCCGGCAGAGAACGCGCATACCATTCCGGAAGTCTTCCGACAGCTTATCATCCTACGCACAGTATTCTGTGAATGAGTGGATAACACCTTCATCCGCCACGTTGGGGAACACCTTCACCAAATCCTCGAGCTCGATATATCATGCGCCGTCGCACGTGCAACGTAACAAATGTACATATGTTTAAGTTCCACGCGAAAAGGATTATAATTAATTATTTTGTTTTGCTATTTATGCTGTTATATGGATAGCGGCAAGGGATGACGAAACTGCGAAGTTGAACCAAAGAACTGCCAAAAAAATCAAAGCAGCTTGCTGTACCAAATGTTACGAGAGAATTAAAAAGATATACGCCGAGTACAACTCGAATGTAAGTGGGTCACACATAC